TTCTTGCGTAATATTGCGTAATTATCTTACGTAATATTTCATAATTATATATTTCGCAATATTGCGAAAGTTATTACGTAATATTACAGTTTTCTTACGCTTTGTAAATTATTGCGCAATATTACACCCTATTAAATTTGCTGATGTGGTTGCTTCACATCCAATAACTCTATATTATTTGAAAAAATGCAGTAAGGAAAGAGTGCCCGATTGGTTTTGTATTGCTGTATTGGTATTTGGTTTGAAATCACAACAATAGTTGATAAACCAGTTTCATACTGTACGTAAAAAAATGTCAATTAATCAATTAATCAATTAGTCAATTTAATCGATCAATCAGTTAATTACTGAATTATGTATCGACAATAGCTCTATGCATTGATGAAGTCATGCTAGGGTTATTATCGCGAGGATCACTATTTGTGGCTTATATAGATTAGGGTATATGCGCTGAGGCTTATATGGGTAAGACAATAGAGATGCATATGATTGTATGCAATAAAGATTATAGATATGCATGTGATTGAGATTATGAATATTCATATAATTGAGATTGTAAAGATGCAGGTATGTTTTGGAAAAAAATTGGAAATTTTAGTGCTTTCTTACTTCGCTTGTCTTGTTCGCTTTTTCTCTTCATTGCCCGATCAATTACGATCTGGCTTCTTCATACTTGACATACTTGTGCTCAAAAAATGAAAATAATGTCAGATACAAACCTATTAAAAAGTGAACTAGAAGAAATCTGTCGTGGCCTAGGTATTCCCACGGAAGGAACTAAGGCAGACCTTATACAAAAGATAAAGGATTTTTTGAGTGAAGGAAATCGTGAAATACCTGAAAAATCAGACAATGCGAAAAGGTTAAATTATGACAAAGGTAATGATGAATTAATAAGTTCTGAATACCTAAATAAGGAAGACATATTTGAATATGACCCCAAACACAATCACTAAGAGAACTGGCGCAAAGGTCTAGAGAAAAAGCAAAAGTTCCACAATCAAAAACCACCACTCCAAACATAGAAGAACAGGGCCCAAATATAATGGAGAAAACATGTAAAACCTCAAAAAACTTAAGAAAACGCCATTTCCAGAAAAACTGTAAGGGTGAAAGTTCAGAAACCCTAGAACGCAAAATGATGTTAGAATTTAAAAAATTGGAAAATGCAGTTCTGGGTTTTAATGATAGATTAAATTCAGTGTCTGCTCAAATACAAGATACCCACCAGAGAGTAGAAATAAATGAAGCTTGGCCAGATCACAAATTTGAGAGATCTCGTGACCAACATGAATACGATATACTGCGGCAAGTAGGACGAGAACTCGATCTGGCAATGGAATTAAAAAATGTTCAGAATGCCATAAATCATATAGAGGATTCCTGGGAAAAAATTGCAAATAGAATGTTCACATTACTGGTAGCTAAAGGATATGGATGAGAAATCGCTTTAGCTTTGCCTGATACACAAAACAAATGGTTAAAAGGAAAAGATGATCTAATTGAAAAAGCAAAGGTTTTAGTGGATGTAAAAAAGAACAAGCATCAAAAATTCAGAAATTTGGGGAAAATTGATTATCAAAGAGGATATAATTACCAAAAAACTTACAAAAATACAAATTCAAACTCCAACAAGTTTTTTTGTCCCTACAATCAGCCTCAAAACCATTTCCAATCCTCCCAAGGTAAATGCTACATCTGTGGAGGTATTAGCTATTTCACAAATACCTATCACTCCGATCCAAATGGAAATAACTTTACCTTCTGATCGAGAGGTTACTCAGTTTACAAAAATAGGTTTGGCAAACTCCAAGAAGATACAAAGCATGATTGACTACACTCGGACCCAGCAAACAATCTCAGTTGTTGGACGTATACATATGAAGGAACATGTAAAGTATTGGGAAAGAAAGATTCAAGCCTCAAGCCTTATTATAAGTTGGCTCAAAAATCGAATCTCACTATTTCCACAAGGTCTACTACATCTAGTAAAAAGCCCGGATCCATCTCAATATCCATTGACGATATATGGTTAGATTTGGAAATAAAAAGACTATTAAAAACAAAAGCAATTGCTTTAGTAGCTCAGTCAAAGGAAAGACCCAAATATCTACTAGAAGTAAGTCTAGTCTTTTTAACTCCAAAACTAGGCCCCAAGAAGTGGTGTCTAATAATCGACCTCAGACAGTTGAATACAATATTACCAGAAAAAACATTCAAGTTCGAAGGATTCGAGATATTTTTACGTATAGTGGGATGAAATTGGTGGGTGATAGTGTTAGATCTAAAAGAAGGTTATCACCATATAATGATGGATGAAAAGGCACAGAGACTATTGGGGTTCAGAATTGGAAGCAGTTGGTACCATTATCAAGTTTTGCCCTTTGGGCTAAGTTAAGCAGTATGGATATTTTCCAAAGTCATGAGATCAATAATAGAATATTGGAGATCATGTGGTATCACATGTGGAAATCACGTAGACGATATTTGGGTTGCATACCCTTGTCAAGACGTGTTGTTATAAATAAGAGATTTAGTTATACTCCCGGATCTAAAAAACTGTGGTTTCATATTGGCAGAAAAAGGCCATCTCAACCCAACACAACAGCCAAAGTTTTATAAGATGATATTAAATACAGTAATGGGAATAGTATCTGCACCGGAATCAAAAATAAACACTACATTACAGGCTTTAAAAAGCCTACTATCAGAAAAAATTATAACAACTCGTCATTTGTCCTCTGTAACAGGAAAACTAATAAGCCTAAATTGGGCCTTTATATATGCAAAAGTGCGCTGGATAGAACTTTATTCAATTATAGACACAGAAAACAGGAAATCTTGGGAATGGAACAAAAAAGTTCACCTAATACAACAAGCATTTACTGATGTGATTTGGATACTAGAAAACTTGAAAAAGAAAAATGGAAGGTTGGGTTGAAAACCTTCCTGAATAATACCAATATACCTAGATGCTTCTACAACAGGATGGTTAGCAACCTTGAGGCAAAAATGGGCATTTGGAAATTGGAAAAACAAGCACAGATATACAGACATTGCATTACTAGAATCAATAGCAGTGCTATTGGGCCTTGAATCGTTTACCCCTTTAATTGCACATCATTGGATTACAATTTTCATAGACAACTGAATTGCCCAGAAAACCGTAGAAGCTGGTGGCAAAAGGCCCTGGCAAAAAGAAATAATGTGGGAGGTATGGAACTTTTGCGATCAACACGATATACAAATACACAAATTTCAGTAGGTTCCATCAGAGCTAAACCCTGCAGACGAATTAACAAGGTTAATTGACGAATCAGATTGGTCACTCTCCCAAAATTTGTTCAAGCAAATAAATGGCAGGTGGGGACTCTTCTCAATAGACAGAATGGCAAGTTACTATACAAGGAAAATAAATCGATTCAACAGCTGTTTTTATTGCCCAGAGGCAACAAACTGCTTTACCCAAAGCTGGGGAAGCGAGAACAATTATGTGTGTCCTCCTTTGGGGTTGATTCACAAAGTATTCGAACATGGAATAGAACACCATGCACAAATAACTATAATAATCCCAGTATGGACGTTAGCATCATGGTGGCCAATTCTTCTTCAACAAAAAGTAGAAGTTATGGACCTACCCAGTGCTACAATAAGCTTCAAACCTTGCCTAGGAGGAAATGCAATCCAAGAACCATAGAAGAACCCACATTGGACATTTCAGGCAGTAAAACTCCATTTTTGAATAAACTATTAGCAAGGGCATATGAATATATTTTACCAAACACAGCATATGAAAAATGGCTTCAAAATTTATGGGATGAGTTTGTCACTTTTTGTAAAGTTCATGATTTGGCCTCATGCCCGGCACACCCAAAAACCATTATGTCCTTTTTGGTATGGATAGATATCCTGTCAAGATCCATGAAACCACGAATGTACTTACTTGCAATTAGTCGCTTTCACCTAAAGATGGGTTTCTCAGACCTAACTACAGACTTTAATGTCCAGATACTAGTAAGAAATTTGATGAAGCTTGCTGCTGCTGATCATGAAGCGACTTGGCCATGTGACCCATTACCAGTGGAAGCATTAAAATATTATATAGACTATCCACCCATTGGGATATCAAATATACTCTGGAAGCGGGACTGTGCAATAATTGCTCTGGGCCTTCATACAATGCGTCATCCAGCAGAACTTTGTAATCTTAGAATAGGGGACTTAAAAATAGAAAATGAGATCTGTTGGGTTAGGATAAACAAATCAAAAACCGACCAGTTTGCAAAAGGAAAATTCATCCCAGTTGAACCCACAGAGTCTCCATATTGCCCAGTAAGACTAGTATGCGATTACTTAAAAGTAAGAAGGTCTGGGAGAAATGAGGATCCACTTTTTCTAAGTGTAACAGGGAAATGCATGACAACTGGGGCAGTAAATGCAGTTGTGAAAAGAATGGCACAACATGCAGGATTAGAGGGTAAGTATTCCGGCCATAGTATACGTATAGGTGATGCAACAGGTGCAATGAAAGCTGGGTTGACACTCCCCCAAATAATGAGTATCGGAGGGTGGTTATCACAATCAGTATCACTGTACCTTAGATCAGTTTCGACTACGTTACAGAACATTTCAGCACGGATGGGATTTTAAAAAAAAAAAAAAAAGAAAAAAAAAACCCCCCCCCAATTCTCTGTGCTGCTCCCATATGTATCTTCATAATATTTGAATAAAGAGATCCAAGCGAGAATAATAGCCCTATGCGTTGACAAAGTCACGCTAGGGTTATTATCGCGAGGATCACCATTTGTGGCTTATATAGATTAAGGTATATACGCTGAGGCTTATATGGGTAAGACAATAGAGATGCATACTCGCTTTTTCTCTTCATTGCCCGATCAATTATGATCTGGCTTCTTCGTACTTGACCCACCGCACCCTAACTTACAAATTTGTTGTACAAATACACTGCCAGTTGTCATGTGTAGTAGTTGAATGCGCCTCACATAGCGTGCGCTCAAAAAAAAAAAAAAAAAAAAGTGAAAGTAGAATGCGCCACACCATAGCGTGGGCCCGTACTTTCGATCCTCATTTTATACTTCGTCACGTGAGCAAACTTCACGTTGGCATATTGATATAGAACATATATAGTAACAAATTGATAAAGAAAATATGTAATAGAAATTAAAGAGCACAATGTATGTCATGATAAGAGAGAAAATGGTGAAGTGGAGCACTACTCCCATATGTATCTTCATAATATTTGAATAAAGAGATCCGAGCGAGAATAATTGTCAATCGTTTGTACAATTATAACAAAACTTGATCAACTAATCGATTAATCGATTTTTTGATTCGGATCATTATTTATATCTCTATTTATATCTCTATTCAATAATTGAAAATCGCAACTCAACTCTCAAATTTGCGAAGTGAAAAATTTTTTTTACACACACAAAATACACAAAATACATAAAGTACGCAAAATACACAAAATACACAAAATAACAAAATACACAAAATAACAAAATACACAAAATACACAAAATGATAACACTACCTAACGAATGCTTTTTGGAAATATTCACGCATCTTAGTCGTAATAGCTTATTTTCATGCCTTCTTGTAAGTCGTCAATGGTGTGGATATGTTGTACCGTTATTGTGGAACAGAATTTATAATGTTTTCAGAAATGAAAAATTTATAAGAACTTGTTTATTGCTGTTAAATCCTGAAGAACAAGCACTTTTAATACCATTCAATATAATACTCCAGAATGGTCCAAAGCCATTATTTGAGTATACAAAATATATTGTATACTTATATTTCTGTGTAAATATCTCATTTAATGGAATTATAGATTTTCTTGACGACCAAGAAAGATATAATTCAAGAAATTCAATAATAGATAAAATGGATGTGGCTCGAGCAATTAAGCGTTCATTAATCTCTATGTTTTTACGAACTGGAGATAGAATAAAGTTTGTTGAGTTTTCAAGTGGGTGGCGCAATATTATTGATTTACATAGGTATCCAAAAAAAGTTTTTGAATATATATGTAAAACTATAATAAATTCCTTATCAGAAAATCTTTATAAAAGCTCAACTTTGACATCTTTATCTATTAGCATTGATATTTTTCCTGAAGAAATAAATACTTTGGCGAAGTCTCTTTGCAAGAACACTACTTTAACTAGTTTAAAGTTCTTTTATAATAATTTTAGTCATGAAAATGCCAAACCGTTGATGCTGGCTCTCTGTAAAAACACTACATTAACTTGCTTAGATTTTATAGAAAGTCATCTTGATGCTAAGGGAAGCAAGGCATTAGCTGATGTTCTTTACAAAAATACTAATCTGACATCTTTAAATATACAAGGAAATCAGCTTGGCCCTGAAGGAGGAAAAGTATTAGCGGAGGCTCTATTCGAAAACACTTACCTTATTTCTTTGAACATTAGTAGTAATCAAATTGGATTTGAAGGTTCAAAAGCTCTAGCTGATGCCCTTTGTAAAAATAATACTTTGACTTCTTTAAATGTTGGAAATAATCAGCTTGGTCCCGAAGGAGGAATAGTATTAGTGATGGCTCTTTTAAATAATATTTCTTTGGTTTCTTTAGATATTGGTACTAATCAAATTGGTTCCGAAGGTGGAAAGGCGTTATCTGATGTCCTCTGCAAAAATACTACCTTGACTTCTTTAAACATTCGAAATAATCAGATTGGTTATGAAGGAAAAAAAGCATTGGCGGAAGCTCTTTCAAAGAATATTACTCTAATTTATTTAGATATTTAGTATTAATTGGTTTGGTTCATGAAAATATTATTACTCTAATTTATTTAGATATTTAGTATTAATTGGTTTTGTTCATGAAAATATTATTACTCTAATTTATTTAGATATTTAGTATTAATTGGTTTGGTTCATGAAAATATTTAATCACTTCTTAAAGATTCATTTTAAATATACCTTTTTTCGACCTATTTCGTTTTTTAACCAATCAAATTCGTCTAAATACCAATCAAATTCGTGTTTCAAACAAATTAGTATATTTTGATCTATCATTGATAACTCGTTATTTAGTAGTTCAATTTTGATTAAATTGGTACTATTCGAAGCCTCTCATAGAGAGGATTCGAATGGTACCAATTTCATCAAAATTGAATCACTAGATAACAAGTTATCAACGATAGATCAAAATATACTAATTTGTTTGAAACACGAATTTGATTGGTTAAAAAACGAAATAGGTCGAAAAAAGGCATACTTACTGTAATTAGCTTAGTCTATAATAAGAAAAGGTATTATTTTTATTCAGAATAAAAAACGTTTTACTAGAAATTATTACGATTTTTATCAATGTGAATTAATGAAGCACAAGAAAAACATATTTGAGTAATTTTATGCAATAAAACTTATATTAATCTTAATCCTAAATCAAATTTCAGGATAATCTTGCATTACTCAATTTTATTTATTATTTGCACCATAAAGTTAAAATTACAATCTCGGAACTATAAATTTATAAATTTCGCATATTTAGTAAAACAAAAGTAAAAAAATTGTTAATTTTGCAAATAAATAAAATTTAATAAAAATTAAAATTTATCTTATATGTAACCAGAATATATATACAGCGAAGCAAAAAATAAATACCAAAATTCCAGGAAAAGCTTTTTGTTAGTACACAGAAGGAGTTATATAATAGAAAAAATACGGAAAGCATATAGCCGCATATGTTAATATGTGCGATATTAAAATTATAATTAGGTCTTTATGTGTTTTTGAAGTGCTGTAAAATGTTGTAAGTATATATTTGAATCCAAGTGATTTGAATATCCATTTAGCTCATTACAGCAGAGATAGTAAATAACTAGGTTATTTGACTATTTTGCTAATGACTTGAAATGACTCCAAAATAACTGCTTTATTCATTTCTAATTATTTTTCGACGAAAACTCGTTTTTAAAAAAATTATGTAAAATTTCAATTCCCATTATCCACTTTCATTCAAACGAAGCCTTTATTCATTTCTAATTATTTTTTCGACGAAAATTAGTTTTTAAAAAATTGTATAAAACTTCAATTCCTATTCTTTGGCAAGATACATTTTCGTTCAAACGAAGTCATTTATTTATTTCTAATTATTTTCGTTTCTTGTCGAAGATGAGAAATTCGTTTTTAAAAAATTAAACTAAATTTGGTTCCTATTCTTTGGCAAGATACATTTTCGTTCAAACGAAAGCATTTATTTATTTCTAATTATTTTTCGCTTCTTGTCGAAGACGATAAATATATAAATAAATATAAACATATAAACTTTTTTACTTGGATTTCGTTTATCATAATTCTTGGAATTTTAACCAGAGATTCGTTTTTAAATCAGTCAACAAATTCATGTTCATATTTAACTTTTTCAATAGCGGCACCTGCTCGTATAATATATTTGTTATAAAAGTCTAATTTATATTCGGATCCTTTTTTACGTTTTTTATTAAAGTATATTGGTTGACAAGAGCTGTTTTTTCCATAAATTTTTGTACAAACTAAGCCCACCAAACATGTTTGACAAGCATTTGAACGAAAATTTAAAAAAGTTGACATTATTCTTATAACGATTGTAAAATTATCATTATGATACCAAAATAGCTTTTATTATTATTATTATTATTATTATTATTATATGGATCATGCCGAAATCAATAACTTAACCGGATCGGCCGAAAAATCATTCGGTCAATTTTTATCAGGTGTTCCAGGAATAAGTAGCGGTAGCTGTAAATCCGGATTTATACTATGATAAAACCGGATTGACCTGAATATAAAAAATATCCGGATTGAGGTATTAACTTTATCTCATTCTAATATTAACCGTAAAGAGCTATTAGAATGATTATTTTCTTTATTTACTGTATTTACTGTAATTATTGTTTTCATGTTACATCGATAATCA